ACTTTCCTTAAAGTCATGGCTCCCACCTGCCACTCTGTTCTGACCCTCCCACATTTTAGGTATGTGTTACAACATAATTCCCTCCCCTGTTTATCCATTCCATTGTTGCTTATTAGCAACTTAAAACCACAAGTATGCATGATCTCAGTGTCCACAGCCAGCGGGCACTCAAGGCACTGGCAGAAGACCCACTTCCTGCTCACTCGTGTGACTGCTGGCCTGCTTCAAGTCCTAGCTGGATGCTGGCTGGAGGTGTAGGATGGTTGCAGTTCACTACCTGCTTCTGCTGGCCCTTAGAGCCCAAGGCCTAAAATACAGACTCTTTGTAAGCTAATTCTGAGGGTCAGAGAGATGTCTCAGCTGATGAAAATGCGTGAGGCCCTCCCATGTATACCTGGCAACCCTGTCACACACTTTATACACAATAATAAAATTTTTAAGTAGTACCCCCCAATGTTGCAAGGTAAGTTTGGAGAGGCTTACACAAAGTCATAGGTATCAGAGGCAGGAACTACTGGGTTTCACCTCAGAGGCTGCCTACCTCAGATAGCAAGTTACATGTGTCACATCATCACTTTTAGTATGACAATAATTTAGAAAAGCTTTAATATTCTCCATACAATCAAGCCAGAACAGAATTGGCCTTATAATATTTCTGAGAGCTCCCCTACCACCCATTGTAACTTGTAAAACCATGTTTGTTTGAAACCTTGTGGAATTAATCACTTGGGAAAGTAGTTTCTGGTCCCATTATACTGTTGAACAGGAACAAGTATTTCCTTTTTTGTACTTTCAAAGTCACAGGGAACCTTTATTCAGAAGTAAAGTGATAGTACAGATCAGACATGCTGCAAGCAAACTTGGGACTCCTTTGGACTTAAAGGCATTTGTTATTGTTTAGGTTTTCCTTTTGTGGAGCCCAGGCAGAGGAGTTGGTTGGGAATGGAGTATGGCTAGTCTTTCAGTTTTGATTGACAGGCTTAGATTATGTAGCCGAGGCTGGCCTGGAACTTCAGATTCTCCTGCTTCTACCTTGCAACTGTTGGGAATAAAGGTGTGCACCCCTGTGCATGGCTTATCCATTCTAATTGTAGTCATACAGTGCCACCTTTGTCATACAGTATCTGGAATTGAGTGTCTGTTAAATTGGTATATATGTTTGTCCTTATGTCAAAACTTTGTTGTCCTGAACATAGTTACTTAAGTAGTTTAGCATATATCTGCATATACACTATATATTACCATATAATATAGCTTGGTTACTGGTTTATGCAGGGGGTTCGAGCTAGCGACCCCTGTGCTGTGATGATTTGGAATGAGTAAGCGCGCCGTTCGCCAGCCCACACCGCCCCCAGTACCAGGGACAATCAGACACAATGGGGAGCCTAGTCAAACAGGGACTCATTTATTGCAGGTATTACAGATCTTATAAAGGCACCTGGAAATCTCCCCACCCCCTGAGGGTGTATCTTAAGGATGGTCACATGCTGATCATGCACTCCTCAGCAGTGCGGAAGTATTCTTCG